AACCTGCTATTGAGGCACTTGATCTGCTCCTTCTCCTTGTGCTTGATGCACTGCATATTGGGGTCAATCTCCAGCTTAAAGGGTGTGAGGAGGCTCTCACTGACCTGACCAATATGCTGCTGATGCAGGAGGCATGGAGGCTGCCAAAGCAGTAGCAGAAGCTGCACCCACAGAACCAGTGCAGAAGGCCCTCTGAAGACACCCCAGCTGCCAAAACCACCAGTGAGGCCAAGGTAGGGAGTGGTGGGGATGCAGCAGCAGCAGCCAAGGTGCAGCTGAAGATACAGCCAAAGCCAAGTCTCTGATGCTCACCCAAGAGAAGGCCTTTTGGACTCCACTACAGGAGCTCAGGCAAGAGGATCCACAAGTCATGGCGACTAGGCAAGAGACCGAGATTTGGAGAGAAAGAGGAAGAACCAGGTCTGCCTCCCTCACCATGTGGAGTGGCCTCACGTTTATGGGTTGGGGAATTTCACACATGTCTCCTCTCTTCTAGGATAACATCATCAAGACTCAGCTCTGGAAAATCCTATACCCAGGCAACTCTGAGGTCTTGGCAGTGCGTTTTCCCAGGGGAAGGCCTCAGAGTGCTAAGCAGTCAAGGTCAGCCAAAGCCTGGGGGGTCTGCACTCTGAGACATAATTAAGGAGGCAGGGAGCCTGGGCTGGGATGCTTCCTCTTGGACTGACATCACAATCAAAATTTGGCCCACAAAATGAGCTGTGACCAAAGACAGAGGACAGGTCATCTTTACTCCAGCTCTGAGAGAAGATTTCCAGGGATTTGTCAGGGGCTAAGTCCCCAAGGCATCCTGGAACTACTACTGTCCAGACATGGAAATGACAGCCATAGAGCCCAAATAGATTGTCCAGCTCTACTTGCTACAAGACCTGTGAACTTAATGGATTTCAGGGTTCCAAATCTATGGGTCCCTAACAGCCCCAACCTGACCATCTACTTTCATCCCTTCTAAGATTTTCTACCTGCACACCACACAGCCTCTCCCTCAACTTCATTAAAAGCACTAGGCCACACTCTCCAGACCATCTCTGCTATCTGGAGTTCCCTTCAGGAGAGCTTGGCCATAATATCAGAGCTGAACTGAGGGGTATACAGGGGGTTTCCCAGCAAGGACAACATCAGCATTCAGGAGGCTACTACAGTGTACAGGCCTGGGAACATGGGCAAGAAACTGGGGCTCTGAATTGTTTGCAGGGCAGGTACTAGAAGTGATCAACAAGCAATGGAGGGAAACTAATAGCAACAGAAGCAATGGCAGCTACAATTTATTGAGTACTTGCTATACACCAAGCATTGCAGTAATATTTTATATACACATGTCACTTTGTCCTCAAAATGTCTCTGGGCATGTTTTATTATCTCAGTTGTAGATACCAGGTTAGTACCCAGAGAGGTTATATGTAAGTTTTTACCCAAAGTATAAATGGCAGAGCCCAGGTATGGCTGGGTCCAGGGATACTTTGACCACTATACCATGGAGAAGGAGAAATGCATTCCTGAAATGTGCACAGTGATGCTTGAAACACTTGAAAATGATGTTACTAGAAGTAAACACACACACACACACACACACACACACACACACACACACGCTCTGTGTGTCATCCCCATGTGCCCCACCTCTCTCTGAGCATACATCTGTCCAGGTCAGGCACCACCAGTGCTCAGCTTGACATTGTTCCAAACTACCCTGCCCACCCACCATATCCACTGTTCCACCTCAGTCAGCTTGTTCCCTTGCCTTCATCCATCCCATTTGCTAGCACAGGTGACTGCCTGGCATTCCCCGCATAGACCCTTACCTCCTTGCTGGATATGTTAGCCTCCCCATTCCCTTAGCCCGAATCCTCCTCCATCCTCTGGTGGTGGTACTTCCAGTTCCTCAGATCCCACGAAAGCCTCGTCTCCTTCTCCCCAGGCTACAGCACTGGAGGCTCACTCTACCAGCAACTCCTGTGGCACATTGCTCTTCCATAACATCCCAAACCCTGAAGCCCTGTATGGTGGCCCTCTGCACATGCCTAGAGACTGAAGCCCACTGTTACTCTGAGCCTGGCAACTGATGGGTGCTCAATAGATGTGTGCTTTCTCCCCTGCATTGGCTCCTAGGACCCACTGGGGTGGTAAAGAAAAGACATGAAGACCAAAACAGGGCATTAGCTTTCCATCCACAGACTGATAGTGGTGAAAAGGTGGGCAGGGGAATGATTTCTCAAAGATCTGGCTAAAGCTGGATATGGTGGTGCATGCTCATAATCCCAGCACTGGGGAAGCTGAGGCAGGAGGATCACTGAAAGTTTGAAGCCAGCTTGGGTTCCATAGTGAGTTCAACACTAGCCTGAACTACTGAGACCCTGTCTCAAAAAAAAAAAAAAAATCTGTTTGAAAATGTAGACACCCTCATCTTCTTCAGCACCTGTGACCATCACCCTTGATTAGTCTGAACCCTTTCATGCTTTGGCCCAGCTCTCTCCACTGAGTCTAAAAAACAATGACTAGGTCATGGAGCCTGTTTCCCTGAGGCTGACTCTATGATCAGTGCTAACATTTGAGGAGACCCTGTGGTCTAGGTCTCAAACCTTTCACTTTCCTTTCTTTCAAGTTGTGTCCTTAGCAGGCACAGTTCAGACTACAGCTCTCACATCTCTCTGGATTTTATTAATTAAGTACACTTAATTAGCTTGTGGATAAAGGCTGTATATTAACACTTTTTTTAAACAGGGGATCGAACTCAGGAGCTTGCATTTTCCAGGCAGGTACTTATGCTGCTGGGCCTTCTCTCCAGCCCTTAACATCCTTATTGACCAGTGGCACAGAAGGTCCATTTTATCTGTCCACTAAAACTCAGGAGTCCAGGCAAGAGGCTTGTAACTGCTTGCTTAAGTCTAATGTAAATCCTGTGCTTCAGGTTAATGCAGTTTCTTTTTATGAGGAAGATACCAAGGGAAGTCTCCTCCAGTACTACTATTCCTCCTCAAAAAATTTAAATAGTTGACTGGGAATATAGCTTTTTAGTATGTGTGAGGCCCCAAATTCAATCCTGGTACCAGTAATAACACTAATAAACCGAGTGGCACATGCCTGTAATCCCAGCACTCGGGAGGCTGAGGAAGAGGATCACTGGGAGTACAAGGCCAGTGTGGGCTACAAAGTGAATTCAAGGCCAACCCAAACCACATAATGAGATCCTGTCTCAAAAGAAAAAAAAAAATACTATCAGCAATAATAAAAAATTAGGAGTGGAAGTATATTTTTTTTTTCAATACTGGGGATTAAACTCAGGCCCAAGGCATTGAGCTATGTACCTAGACTTTTGTTTTTCAGATAGGATCTCACTAAGTCACTAAGTTGTCACACTGGGCTCAGACTTGGGATCTCCTGCCTCAGCTTCCCAAATGCTGGAATTACAGCTGTGTACACCATCATCACCAGCTTGGATGTAACCTTCCGGCCAAGTATTAGTCACAGTCACACAAGACTGTGGCGTCGGGCTCTGTCTTCTCCAGAAAATTGTGGTTGGACTTAAGCTGCTACAAACTGGACCAGAGTTGAAGAGAAAGAATCCAAGCCCAAGAGAGTGTGAGAAAATAGCAAAGAAGGTAACATACCTCCTGGGACCTTAGATGCCCGTTGGCCCACAGCCAGGACTGACAGGGCTGACCCCTAGAGTTCCAAGACCTAATTACTGTATGTACAATAATACTCATCTTTAAAACAAAGGAAGCTCAGAGGAGGGGGGGCTTGGCTGCCTCCCTTTTATCTAGCTCACACTCTGGTTTTCTCTGTCAGTTACTAGGCTAATAATCATCTTCCTTCATGGCAGGTTCTGACCTTCTAGAGTTGATGGTCATTAGTTGAGAAAAAGTATTTTAGAAAAAGGCCAATTTCTCGAAGAGTTCACAACCCAAAAGCCCATGCTTTTGCCTGCAAGAACTCAGCCTGGCTCAGACCCTGGGAGACTCCAGTGTGGAAGAGGGCTGAGGGGGTCACCATTCAGGTTCCGGCCCCTCTCCTCCATGGGAGCCTTCCACGTAAGACCTTAAATATGTCACTGGACCACGGAGCTCACCTTCGTCGTCAGGTAAATAGGCACAATGATACCAGCTGCAGAGGGATGCCCTGGGAGTTGCATGTATCTAAAAGCCTTTCTCGGGGCTAGGCACGTTATTAACACTCCTTTTCCCTTCCCAAGAAGAATAAAGAAGCGCACAGGAGTAATTGCCCACTTGGGGGAGGAGGATAAGCCATGAGTTCTGAGAAAGTTATTGCCCAAAGGGACTCAGGAGGAATGACAATGACAGGAGAATAAATAACCACACCTGGGGCTCTTATTAAGTGCTAGGTAAGCTCCCAAATGCTTTTCCATTATCTCATTAGTTCCTCCCAATAACTCTCAGATGGGCATATTATTATCCTGACTTTGCATTGAGAATACCTGGCCCAGAAAAGCTATTCTCCCGCACAAGCAAGGTCAGGCCAAGAGCTGTCTCTTGACTCCAGAGACCCGGTTCCCTTCACTGTGCAGCGCACTTGGTAACTACGGCTCCCCTCCCTGGAGGGCAGAACGGGCAGCGAGGTGAGGCTCGTGTCCCAACAGTGAGGCATAAGATTCTGCCCGCGGTGCATGTTGAACAAGACCTGTAGGACTGACCAGGTGCTTCAGGGCCCCAGGTGAAGGCAGTTTTATGGGGCAGCTGGGAGGCCCGGCCCACTTTGGTTTCGGGTCGGATTCCAGGACAGAACTCTCCAAGCTGGACAGCCGGGCATCCTCCAGGGCCATGCAAATCGCCTTATACACAACAGCGCATATTTCTGCACACCGCACCATGTCTTAACTTCTCCTCAAGACTCGGAGCCCCCTGCAGGGCCAGGCCGCAGCTGCATCATTGCGGCCCCCTATCGCGGCATCTGCGACCACGGGAGGATTCAGCAGCCACAGCGTCTGCGGGGCCCTTCTTCTCTGGCTCCTTTGGCCCCAGCTTTGGCTACCGCTCCGGAGGCGTGTGCGGCCCCAGCCCGCCCTGCATCACCAGCGGTCCATCAACGAGAGCCTCCTCACGCCCCTCAACCTGGAGATCGACCCCAACGTGCAGTGCGTCAAGCACGAGGAGGAGCAGATCAGAGGCTGCCTTTATCGACAAGGTGGGCGTCCTGGATCGCACCCTTCCTGAATGAGCAGGTTCCAGTAGGAGCTAGGACTCCTCAGGCCAGATATTTAGAAATGAAGAATGGGGACTGCTATTTTATATATTTTAAGGTGGTACAGACCCTTGGTGTTAAATAACATTGAAATATCCGGTGAGAAATTTCATGACCTTTTATGTCTGTTTCAGTCCCTTAAGTAGGTGCAGCAGCTTTTATTGGGTGGGAATGTCTTGTCTTTCTCCTTCTAACAGAGTGAGCCTAGGTTCAGAGCTGCCTGGGACAGCAGCTCAGCTAGAATTCAAAGTTTTGTGAATTCCTTATGCTCACCTACCGATACCGGATTTACAATAACGGTAGTAATGTGAAATCGCCCCTATAATTCTTCAAATGTAAATGTTCATGAACCTGCTTATAGTAGATAGAGCATGAGATACAGGCAAAGGTAAAATTCTGAAGTCAACCTGAGAAGTGTTGATATTTGAGAATTTGCTACCATAGTACACGAGAGAGAAAAGTGGCAGGGATAGGGCAAGGGATCCACCCAGGGGCCCAGAGAGGGTGTCAGAGCAGGACTGAGGCCCAGGCTCTCTCCCAAATCCCCAGAGCCAGAAGACCCAAAGCTGGGGGCCCCCTGCTCCCCAGCCCACTCCAGCAGGGCACCATAACCTGCAAAGGGGTCCTACAAGTAGAATGTGGAAAGAGCCCTGGTCCATGGATGTGTGGCCTGTATTCCCCGCCCTTCCTATTCAGTGCTTCCTCTGATTGGCTGTGTGGCACTGAGAATAGTGTCCTCTGCTCCAGAACTTGGGGAGCTTGTCTGGAGGTTCCAGCAGGACAGCACAGCTACTCGTATATCCTTGGCCAAGGAACGGTCCTCCTCTGATCGTCCTCTTCAGCTGAGCATGCAGCTCCAGGAGGGAGCTGGGAGCGTTAAGGGAGGAAGGGGACACCCACCTAGCCAGCCAGATCAGCCAAATCAACTCTGGCAATCAATAGGATGACAGATGTCACAGCCAGATTGCCCTCATATCTCGTTCCAGAACTTTGAAAGGGAAGATTTGGCCATGACAACCATGAAGCGCTATCACCCAAGACAGCCTGAAACAATTCCAGGTAGTAGTGGCAGTCCCTATTCCTCATGTCTGGATGTCCTGGCCTTGTACTCCCAGCTGCTGTCCAGGAGAGGGAGGAAAGGGGTCCAAGGACTACAAGTCAGGGAAGGAGACATCTCCACTCAAGCTTCAGTGTATGAGAAACAGCAACCTGGAGGCCAAGGGGCCTGGGACTGTTTGCTGACATCCTTCATGGTCAGCAGTGGGTACCCTTCCCCTTGTATCTCTCCAGTCTGAATGAGAAGGGTGGTGGGGTGAGCCCTCTTTCCCTATTTTCCAAGTCCATTCAATCCGCTTGCCTGCCTGACCTGCAGAGACATAGGACAATGTCTACCATATAAGTTTAGGCCACCAACAGCACCCCACACCACCCCAGGCCTCTTCAGACCTCAGGTATCCTGCTTGTTAAGAGCCTAACATCCCTGCCCTCCCCAGTTAAGAAGCCCTTCCCACTTTGACCACTCAGCCACCTCTCACCTAGCCAAGCTGACCATGAGGCCTGCCCTGAGGGAGCTAATGGTGGAAGGCTTCCTTCCTCCTCTCCTGATGCCACTCTACATTCTTTTCCTGCAGGATGCCTTCCCAGATTGTCAATCCCCTCCACCCCTACCTGCTCCCCCAGCCCAACAATAACTCAGCACAGCCATAGGCCTCTCTCACACTCATCCATCCTGGCACCTGGACAGACAGACGCTTACTCAAGCCTGGCAAGCAGTCACAAAGCAAGGATTCCCCAGATGCAACCTCAGCCAGGAAAGCTCAGCAGGGCCATAGCTTGGCCGAGGTCTGGGAATCTCCCTGCCAACTTCATTTTGGTTCTGCTTGTTCTCCAAGGAGGACAGAAGATGCCAGCCTACCCCACACACTTCTCCTGTTTCCACCCAGGTATGCTTCCTGGAACAGCAGAACAAGCTGCTGGAGACCAAGATGCGGTTCTGCCAGCACAAGTGCCACAAGAGCAACCTGGAACCACTATTTGAGGGCTACATCCAAATGGTTATGCGGGGGCTAAGGAGGTGGAGGCTGACGGTGGGAGGCTGGCCTCAGAGCTCAACCACGTGCAGGAGGTGCTGGAGGGCTTCAAGAAAAAGAGCTCTTTCCACCATCTTTCCGTGCCACCATGATGGTGCGCATGAATGTCCTAGCTGATGCTCTCAAGAGCATCAACAATGCTGAAAAGAGAGGCAAATGCCAGGTGCTCATTAGCCGCGCCCCAAAGTCATCGTCCGGTTTCTGTGATGATGAAGCATGGTTACACGGGCAAATTTGAAATCATTGATGCTCACAGGGCTGGAAAAATTGTGAACCTCACAGACAGATGAAACAAGTGTGGCATGATCAGCCCCAGGTTTGATGTGCAGCTGAAAGACCTAGAAAAATGGCAGAGTAACCTGCTCCCATCCTGTCAGTTTGGTTTCATTGTGTTGACAACCTCAGCAGGCATCATGGATCACGAAGAAGCATGACGAAAACACACAGGAGGAAAAATCCTGGGATTCTCTTTCTAAGGATGTAGAACATGTAAATAAAATACTGCATGGACAAAAAAGAAGAAAGAAAGAGAGAGAGAGAGAGAG